GGTGGAAGGAGAGCGAATGGCGAAGAGGACAGCAGCAATGATATCCTACCGGTAGCTCTGGCAGCTGCTGATTCATATGACAGGTGGGCTGGCAGCTGCGCCTCGTATGGAAGCGTCACTGGTGCTGAAGCAGCAATAGCTCCCCCCTCACCAAGTGTCAAACAACTACTGCGGCACCGCAGCGTGTTGCTCAACTTTTGCAAGGCAAGATCAAGAGTGACGATTGCATACGCATCTTCCCCTTCAGTCTTGTGTAGAAATCGTGCACCATTCAAGGTAATTTCCGAGTATACCACTTCGGCAACTTCTCTCTTTTTGGAGCGACGAGTCTCTGAGTACTCTTTCTTGTATCGACGAATGATATCTCGCATGCGTTTATTTCCAGGGTGGTCGTGAGAACCCTTGCCTCGGCCAAAGATGATATCATCGTCGGTGGGTATAAAGACGAGTTCCGCATCCTTGGTAATGCACTTGTCAAAGCGTTTGTATCGTCCCGCTTGAGAACCAGGTGTTAATTCTCGATCTTTTTCACTACCGCAGTCGGGCTTGTGGACAATACTAGGATAAGCCTTGGGGATGACGATGGGATTGTTTTTTCTGGAGGAACAAGGCTCCTCCTCATGATGATCATCTTGACTTTCTTTGCCAAAACTTGATTGTGGCATGATGCTTATTTGTTTGACTATCACCTCTTGCAATCTTCATGCGGTTGAAAGATTCACTTCGACAGTTCGGATACTTCCCAGTCGCTAAGCAGTAATAGAAATGCGGTATTATTGTTGTCAGTGAAGAAAAAAACACCGCAAATTCAAAATCGTCGCTCTCCAATTGTTCGGCACTCGCGTCACGAGTCACGAACGCATGACCGCCTTCTGATTCATTTTACCGCGCAGTATTTTTAGGTAGTTTAGGAGTCACCCGAACCGTCTGGCCTTTCCCAGTCAATCTCCATTTCCCGCCGAGATTCAAAACGTCACGCCGGCATACCCGCTCGCCGGCCTTCTATCCGTTAGATTTGAATTCATCAATCATTCATTCACTCACGGTTTCATCAAAATTGCAATGAAAATGAAGGTAAGTTTCGGATGGGCGTTGCATCTCCTCCATACAAGTTTCTTACACAACTCTATTATCGCTCTATGCGCAGTGATGAGACGGATCGAATGAATGTGGTTGCGCTTCTGCAATCGATCGACTTTCATTTCCCTATCACTATCATGATTCAAGACCTTTCCAAAATTGCTTTCAATGATGCCGACGGGAAAGAGACCTTGACGAACCAACGAGACCCCACCAACTCAAGTAAACAATCTATGATACTACGAAAGATCTACGCTTGCGTCTATTTCGCCTGTATATCCGCGAAGTTTTGAACGAGATTTTGTCATTCTGTTGTTGCCAAAACAATGTTCAGATGTCAACAAGTCAAATGCTCTACGTTGCAAAGTCACCGACCTGTTATTCTACGAATGAGCTACGTTTGCGTCTTTCTTTTTGCGAAGTATTGACTGAGGTTCTGCCATTCTACGTTGGCAAGATAATTTTTGGAATGAAACATCAATCAACAAAATTCGCTACGTTACGGGTATTCCTTTTCTACAAGCACAACCTCTTCTTCTTTTGAGCTGTCTCGATGTGTCATTGCCACCAACGAAAGCACTCCTATAATAGAAAGAGGCGCAATAAATGTCTCTTTCAACAGTCTTGGACGAATTCAACGTGGCTCCGTCGCATCAAAGATCATAAGCAGACACCATGCTCGCGAATCCTACATTTGAATAGATTGGCATTTCAATAAGACTATAGACATACAATTATTCTGATTATTCTTATGACAGATCGATTTGACAGGGGAAGAGAAGTACCTGGTAACCAGGTACTGCTGGTCTCAACCGTTCGTCGTCACAAGTCGTAGCCAAGAAGAAGCAATTCTTCCAAGCGCCAAGTTGGGCAAAATTGGTGCATTTGGATCCCGTCTTTGGGAACTCTAATAAAAGGACCTCTTGGGAAAAGGTGCCAATGAAACGGACCTCTTGGGAGAAGGTGTCAAAGCCAATGCAAATAAAAAGGATCTCATTGGCTAGGTGTAATAGAATTCTGCTTACGTATGCGCTGGTTTTCTTCCGACTTGCAACATATCGATTCCCTACGACAATCATTATTTCGGAGATCCACAATTTTTCACTCCTTTGCGGAGTCTTTGTGACTCCTTTCCTCACGGGACTGCATTTCTGGCGGCAAAATGAGCCAGCAAGCCTCGAATTCAATCCGGTAGGTCCATGTGTAACACTTTGCGCGCGTTCTTTTTGCCCGACTTGTGTCTCACTTCTTTTTGAATTTTCCGTTAATTGTCCGCGTGACGGATGAAGGCCAGACGGTTCGGGTGACTCCTAAAAGACCTTCCTGAACCGGTACACGTACACATGTACTTATTTAGGCCTTCGATGCATTTCCTAAACAAGGCATTTTGAAAATGAGAATATTTGAGGATGAGAGGATCATCATAATGACTCTTCCAAACAAGGTGGAGATATGAGTGATTTCAGAAACTCTGAACCAAGGGACTACTAACGCATATCTTGGAAGACCTGCACACGTTGCCTCGACTTGCGCAGTTCATCATACAAGCATCAATCATTTGTTGAAGCACACCAGCAATATGTCTCGGCTTTTTTTTTCACTGGTGTTGGCATTCACACGCATATCTTCTTGTTCTTCTTCGTCAGGTAACAGCTTTCGCTGTTCCAACGACCATACCTTGGCAAAGCAGCGAAATTTGAAGACACCACCACCACCACCACCACAACAACAACAACAACAACAATTCCGTGCTGCGAATAGCTGCGCTTGTTTTAGTGACGGAAGTGAACTAAATGATGCTGTCAAGCAGTTTATCCAAGATGGGTGTTCTGACACCCACAATTGCAATACCGATGTAGTGCAAAAATACGGTTGGCCCATGGGATCCTGGTGTGTGTCAAATGTCACTAATATGGACAAGTTATTCTACGGGGCATCGCACTTCAATGACGATATTTCCCCTTGGGATACGGCCCAAGTCACAAGTATGGAAACAATGTTTGAGTACGCATCCTCCTTTCATCAAGACTTGTCAGCCTGGGATGTTTCGAAAGTCACCAACATGATTCGAATGTTTGCTCATGCGTCAGCCTTCAATCAAGATTTGTCCTCATGGGACGTTTCTCAAGTTGCAAATATGCAATACCTGTTTGGTTATGCCTCTTCCTTCCACCAAGACTTGTCATCCTGGGATACGTCTCAAGTCACGGATATGAGTTACATGTTCCGTGCCGCATCATCCTTCAATGGCGATATTTCCTCCTGGAAGGTTTCCAAAGTTACAAACATGTGGGGGATATTTTACGAGGCGTCGTCTTTCAATCAAGATTTGTCCTCGTGGGATATCTCAAACGTCAAGAGCATGAGAAACATGTTCTACTTGGCAAGCTCATTCAATCAAGACTTGTCCCTGTGGAATATTTCTCGTGTGACAAATATGGAATACATGTTCGCGGGAGCATCCTCCTTCCAACAAAATCTGTGTGCCTGGGGTCCGCAGATTTCGCCTACCAAGAAGAACAATATTATGACTCTGATGTTTTGGGGGAGCAACTGTCCCGCCCAATCGGAGCCAAACACAACATCCACTCCACCAGGTCCATTTTGCTACGAATGTGTCTAGTTTCCCATTTTTTTAACAAGCGCATAATGTGTAAAATGAACTAGTAGGATTACCTATATATCAACTCGTTACTTTTATTGCACTGTTGGTATTCATTTTTTGCCGGTACATTCTTAGTGCTTATCGGCACTTTTCAAACTTTGGGACTACACATGTACCGACCGTGTCGTGCGAGAACTCTCGCATCATTTTTTGCGCGCGTCATTGTCGAATGAATGAATCTCATAAAACATATTCATATCTTGCATTATCATTATTCACATTATCACTACCAGGTACTCATCATGATCATTGTCGCTCCAGGACATACGGAATAAGTACGACGAAAGAGCACCTAGATCCCTTTTCTCTTGTTGCTCAAGCAAATCGCGTGTATAGTCAAGATGGTTCGAGTCCCATTCCTTTTCTTTTCGACGACCACAACATGGTGTTTGCTGAATCAATTGGCAATAAGCGCAGCTTCTTCGAGCGCCTTCATTTGTTCCGACGACAATGGTTTGACGCAACAAGTCAATGACACTGGCTGCGCTTGCTTCAGTGGAGGCTTTGAACTAGAACAAGCTGTTCGTTATTTTGTTGTGGACGGTTGTTCTGATTCCAAAAATTGCAACAATTGGGTCGTGCAAAAATATGGTTGGCCAATGGGATCCTGGTGTGTTTCGAATTTGAATGAAATGAGGAGAGTGTTTGATATGCGGAGAGTGCTTGATGTACCGCCTTTCTTCAATGATGACATTTCGTCGTGGGATGTTTCGAATGTCAAAGCCATGGATTACATGTTCGAAGGTGCATCAACATTTAATGGAGATTTGTCATCATGGGATGTTTCGAAAGTCACGAATATGCGCGGAATGTTCAATGAAGCGTCATCCTTTAATCAAGACTTGACATCATGGAATACTTCGTCTGTGACTGACATGGACGGAATATTCCGTGAAGCATCGTCATTCAATGGCGACATTTCAACATGGGACGTGTCGAAAGTCACTGATATGAGTAATACGTTCACAGGCGCGTCATCCTTCAATCGAGACTTGTCATCATGGGATGTTTCCTCTGTGGTGTCTACACTTGGAATGTTCAAAGACGCAAAGTCGTTCAATCAAGATTTGTCATCATGGGACGTGTCTTCTGTTGTTATCATGTATGGCATGTTCGACGGTGCATCATCCTTCAATGGCGACATTGCGTCATGGGATGTCTCTGGTGTCACCAATATGCTAAGAATGTTTCAGGGTGATTCATCGTTCAATCAAGACTTGGCATCATGGGACGTCTCTTCGGTGACAAACATGCATGAAATGTTCCAGAACGCATTTTCGTTCAATCAAAACTTGTCATCATGGAATGTTTCGAAAGTCACCAATATGAATTCTATGTTCAACAACGCATTTTCGTTCAATCAAAACTTGTCATCATGGAAAGTTTCCAAAGTTCATGAAATGGGTCGGATGTTCAATGGTGCAAAGTCATTCAATGGAGACTTATCATCGTGGGATGTCTCCCAAGTCACAGAGGCGGAGAACATGTTTGAAGGAGCTGCTGCTTTTGATAAGTCTGCAGTCTGCAACTGGAGTGATGCTTGGAAGAAACTAATTCGCTGCAAGGAAGAAGCCGCAATTCCAAAGAGTGGAGTTCTTGCCAGATTTTTAATGACCGCGGCAATTCTCGGTTCCTTTGGCGGCCTAGCAGTATTTCTGCAGTTTACTTGGAAGAAGCAAAGACAACGTCCTGCTCTACGTGAAGTTCAACCGACCATGACACTGAGACAACAGCAGCAGCGTGAACGCAACGCAAGTATTCAAGGATTGACAGAGGAGGAACGAAATCAAGCCCTTCATGAGCAATTTATTACAAAATTCAATTTCCAAACCGTTTTGCCAGACCAATCGACCATCGCTGCAAAACATGTCACAAAATCGGCGTCCAAACAGGACCATGAGCTGCCTTTTGCTGCAGACCCTTACGATGATGAAGACGCATTCGAAGTTGATGGGACGCAAGGTAACATTTATCAAGGTCTATTGCGTTGGAGGAGACCATCCGTTCAGGATGAATGCTGCATATGTTTGGAGTGTTATGCTGCCGGAGAGACGATCTGTGCCCCAATTACAACGGGATGCGACCATGTATTTCATGAAGGATGCATAAATGAATGGCTGAAGAACAACGCCAAGTGTCCCCTGTGCAGAGTAGAACTACTAAACGACTAGATTGTACTACTAGCGCGTCATTTGTGCGTCGGTTCGAGTTCGTTCCTTGTGATGGAGCTCGTTCCTAATTTAGCATCGAACGATTTATTCAATTCGTTCAGTCGAAGGATGGTAGAAACGAACGCATTTTAGAAAATGAGTGCAAGGTGTACATAGTGGATATGAACTTTTATACAAGGCGGAGGGAGCACCCAATGTAGTACCAGTACGCTGGTAAGAGCACATTGCAAATCAACATGGGCGCTGTGGTCAAGTGACAGAGTGAAAGAAATGAGAACTGGGTAGCTTTAAGGCAAGTTCATGATAAGCAGCATATGAAGGCAATTGCAACTATAGCTCGTCCAAAGAGCGCTCAAAGAGGATGCATGGACGAGTAATGAGGAATGTGACTGCTTGTCTGGCAACCCGCCTGGTAAATTAAAGATAGGGAAAAAATCTGCATATCACGCCTGAATGATCATTATCGTGCCTATGCACTGTTACCCCATCAGGAGTAAGAATGAGCGGGCACTGTGGTTACCCCACCAGGAGTAAGAATGAGCAGGTTTCCAGTTGTAAATAGGGAACGACCTCCTCCCATGACATCCCACAACTAGGTAGAAAAGAGTATATCAAGATTCGACTACAAAACTTAATCTAATTTTTAAGCCAGCGTAGAGTTTAGTTAGATATCACTACAGCATGTTTCGGTATTTGACAATCCTCTTCTGCACTTCGTCGTTCATCCAATCCATTCTTCAAGAGTATATATCCATTTTTGACTTGAAAGTACTTCGATAGGTCCAAATGCACGTCACTGCGTTGCTAATAATAACCGCGAGCACGCGGTTATTTTCTTGCATCTCGATTGTAATATTTTGCATCATCATGATGTCAACATTCATTCGCACATGACTGAAACAATGTGCGGCATTACACCTTCACTAATGCGTGGAACACAATGGATTGCCGAAAGAAGCGCTCGCTCCAAGTTGCTGTAGTTGCGGAGTCACGTATCGTCCATTGAAATTTCTGATTTCTCCCGAGGAAGTCTCATATAACAACATCCATCGCCAACAGCACATAATACCTATCATACCATCAACTTTTCTATCGACTTATCATGAAACCAATCAAGATGTTTTCACTTTCCTTTCTAATGGTGACAACACTCTGTTGCTGTGAGCTAGTTTCATTTTCAAATGCATCTTCTTCGAGTGCCTTTAGCTGTTCCAATAATGGCAATGTATTGGCGCAACAAAGTGCTGTCAATATCATGCAGCAAGTCACTAACAATGGCTGCGCTTGCTTTGGCGAAAATTACGAGCTTCATGATGCCGTGGATCAGTTTATCAGCGACGGCTGTTCTGACACCAACAATTGCAACAACACTGTTGTGCAAAAGTATGGTTGGCCGATGGGATCCTGGTGTGTTTCTTCTGTAACCGACATGGTATTCCTATTCTTGAATGAAAATTCATTCAATGATGACATCTCATCTTGGGATGTTTCTTCGGTAACTACCATGGATTACATGTTCTCGCACGCATCATCCTTTAACCAAGATTTGTCGACATGGGAGGTTTCTTCTGTAACTTCCATGCGTGGGATGTTCTGGCTTGCATCGTCGTTCAATCAAGACCTATCATCTTGGGATATCTCTTCTGTCAACAGCATGGAGTCCATGTTCCAAACCGCATCATCCTTTAATGGAGACGTGTCAACATGGAACGTCTCTTCTGTGGCGAACATGAATCTAATGTTCGCTGGAGCATATTCATTCAATCAAGACTTGTCGTCATGGGATGTCTCTTCTGTGACTGACATGGGTTGGATGTTCCAAGGTGCATCAATCTTCGATGGCGACTTGTCATCATGGGATGTATCTTCTGTGACTGACATGACTTGGATGTTCGAAGGGGCATCATCTTTTAATGGAGATTTGTCATCCTGGGATGTTTCGAAAGTCACGAATATGGATCTAATGTTCGCATACGCATCATCCTTCAATCAAGACCTGTCATCTTGGGATATCTCAAATGTGACGAGAGCTGGAGCAATGTTTGAAGGAGATGGTGCCTTCGACGAATCGGCCGTGTGCAATTGGAGTGACGTCTGGAAGAGAGTTTTTAGCTGCGATGATGAAAGTGCCAGCCCAACCAATGCCCCGACATTGGATAGTGCAGCAAGTCCAACAAACGGAAGCCCAAATCCAACCAATGCCCCGACATCGGATAACTCAGCAAGTCCAACAAATTTTCCGAGTTTGGATGCAACGCTTTCGCCAACGGTAGACGCAAGTTCTACTTCGAGTTTCAACTCTTTGCACGCCACAATCCTTTTGCTGGTGGCAGCAAATTTCCTTTGGAATTACTAAATGCTTTGTCGGACGTGTACTCTCTTTCGATTGGGGCTGACTTGTACGGAATCCATGTGCAGAAGAAACCAATATAGATCAAGCTGTATTTCTACAGTGTGAATAAAAATAGTACATTTTTGTATTAGTGTTTGTTAAAACGTTGAGAATACATTATTATACTGTAGTACTTTTGGATACACTCACTGTATCATATCAGTATCACACAAGCTATGATATAGATTGCATATACCTCATTTTCGGCTCTGGGTGATTTTTTCCTGCTAGAATATTCCTAGACTCCAGTAAATCGCAATGCCGAAGTCTTTTTGTGGCGGCGCCGCCAATAAGTCGCATCTTAGAGTCAAGATGGTTTAAGCTTCGTTCCTCTTCTCTTCAACTGTTAGCTGGTGTTTGCTGAATCGATTGGCAAGTGCATCTTCTTCGAGCGCGTTTAGCTACTAGGTGTTCCAACGACAAGATTTTGGTGCAGCAACCTTCTTCCGACATATACAACAGGCCAATGACCCCCCATGGCTGCGTTTACTTTGCTGATGGAGATGAGCTTCGAAATGCATGGTCGTTCCGATTACAACAATTTCAACAACACCGTCGTTCAAAAATATGGCTGGTCGCTCGATGGGATCATGGCGAGTTTCTTCCGTAAGCGACATGTGTAATTTGTTCGACGAGGCACCTTCTTTCAACGATGACATTTCATCATGGGATGTTTCCTCAGCCAACAACATGACTGGAATGTTCTTCCTTGTATTTTCATTCAATCGAGACTTGTCATAATGGAATGTTTCAGCTGCCGTCACAATTCGGATTCTACTGTTCAATGAACAATAAACTCATTCAATCAAGACCTATTGTCATCATGGGATGTCTATTCTGTCACTGATGTGGATTTTATTTTCCAGTACGTATTATAGCATCTTTCAATCAAGATTTGTTATCATGGGATGCTTCGAAAGTTGATCGACTGTATCGTATCGAACTTTTGCCACTGTCTACGTCTACAGTGTACCAGTACTGATATGAGGTCGATGTTGAAGGGTGCATCATCACTCAATGCGGCGACATTTCATCATGATATGTTACATCTGTCACGAGGATGGACAGGATGTTCCCAGGTGCTGCACTCGGGGGAATAACTTTTGCGTACCAAGAATTTGTTGTTCAAGGTGTAATAACACCCTTGCGAAAATACGCCCTTCTTGCGCCAATTCGAAATTTACACCATCACACTCAAAACAACTACAGGTAAGTAACAAATGGAGTACCAAAGACTTTGAAAAATAACGACAAGTATGCCACGCGGAAACTTTTGCACAACAAATATTTGTTCAAGGTGCAATAACACCCTTGTGAAAAGACTGACTCCCTTCTCGCGCTAATTCAAATCACCACAATGCTCAATACAATTAATAAAAGCAACAAATGGAGTACTAAAAAGACCTCGACTTTAAAAATGACAACATGAATGTATCACACACGGGGAAACTTCCCCAAATAGTAATAAGCATTTCACAGAAACCTTTTGATGCGAATTGTGAATGCATCAAAAAAGAATTGAGAACGACACCAAGAATTTGTGTAGATTTCTATGTATTACCGGTACCACAATTATTCTTGCAACACGTGTTACGTAGATACGAACACGTGGTTTCTATTTTTTGGCAGGATTCTAGGTACACGGTACGCCACAATTAACCTACAAGGTGGTACTGTACCTATACTGTACGAACCAAAGGATCCGATCTCTTTTCGCATTTCATTTTTTCGGTTTTAAAACATAATTTGAAACCGAGATCAACGAAGGTAATACTATCGATGACCCAACTTGATATAGAATCAAAGGCTTTGGACCAAGGTAAGAAAAATGTCGATGACGTCTTTTGAATTTCTGCATACCATACTAACATCAAGTCTCGGTTCAGAGAATCAAAGATCTGGGTTCGATGAGAAAGCTCGAGCAAGAGAAGAAAAGAGGAATGCCAATGAAGCCTTTGTGGAAAAACGAATCAGTGCTTCAACCGGACATAATCCTCGTAAATCTTCGTCGAGCAGAGATTCGATATCTAGTGGAAAACGCAGGTCGTCCACTGAAGGCACTAGAGTAGAAAAGGTGGATCGAGATATTTTCAGGCCAGAAAACCATGGGCGTGATGGTCAGCAGCCGATCGAAGAACCAGTCGGTGCATTTTCTGTGCGTGAACGAGAGTATTCAAGTAAGACTGAACAAGCTGTTTATGTATCATACATTTCATCATAAAGGCGAATTCTAATTTGTCACAACCTCCAATTGATTACAGATTCTATTCGCAACAACGAAGCTCATGTAGAGCCCAGTGAGAACTTGGCCATTGCCTCCGTTGTTGTTCCAGATGAGAACATTGCGGACAAGAAGGTCAATGACACTGAAAAGATGAACAGCATTGAAAACAAACAATTGTCTCCAAAAAGCATGGCAATCTTTGCAATTGTTGCACTTGTGGTAATTGTGATTGGTGTCGTAGCGGCCGTGGTGCTTACCGGCGAAGAAGAGAATGGTGGAAATGCAGCCTCGGTTTCCTCAAAGAGAAAGACAGCTCTTCTTATTGTCGACGTCCAAGACTGCTTCATAGGAAGTGCAAGTGTTACTGCAAACGGACAAGTTGGCTCTCTTCCTGTTGCAGGCTCGGAGGAAATTATCCCAATCATCAACAGAATCCGAGACGAAAAAAGTTGCCTCTTTGATCTCGTAGTCAGAACACAAGACTTCCATCCAACCAAGCATATTTCCTTTGCTTCGACATTTGGTCTTGAGCCATATGTGCATATCACAGGAGGTAAGGGAGAGCTTGAACTGAAATGTGTCAACATCGGGGAAGGCTCTTGTTGCCCAGAAGCTTTGATTGCGAGCGGAATCTTTGCCCCAACCGAGCTAAAATGGAGCTGGATGGAACATTGAATCATGTTTTACAAAGTAGAGCATGCCAAGTGTGTACCGACCTTCGTTCCAGCTCATGTTTTCCATCAAGCCAGGCAATGTGGACCGACCATTGTGAACAAACTGGAGACTCTGGGTTTCCTCAAGATCTTGTTGTAGACGAGGAAAACGACGTTGTCTTTGAAAAGGGTACCAACGACTATACCGATGGATACAGCCCTTTCTTTGACAACACCGGCAGAATCAGTACAGGACTTGGAGAGATCCTTCAAGATAATGGGATTGAAGATATTGTCCTTGTCGGCATTGCTTTTGACTACGCCATTCGGTACGCGGCAAACCATGCAAAAAATCTGGGATATGATGTTAGTGTGATAGCGGATGCCAGCGCAGTTATCGATCAACAGGTGGCACTTGATACCACAACGGAAATGATTGCAAACAAAGTCTCTATTCTCAGCTCTGATGATATTATCAAGATGGAATGCTGAGCACTGCTGTGATTGCTGGATTTTTAACACCTGTGAAGATCGGTCTTCTGATTTTTCACTAAACATTAGGATACATATATATTTGGACTGGTACTGTAGTATAATACCTTCGTTTTACAACTTGAGAAAAGAAGGTATCATTTGACGGGTAATAGTAAAGGAACAGGTACTGATGAAGTCACACAGTAGTAGTACATTATTAGGCCTTTTATTATCCCCTTCTTTTATATATTTGCGACCCCGCAATGACTAATACGGTCGGTACCGGTTTAATAAAAATATATAGTCACAATCAAAACGAGCAAATTTAAGTCCAGTATATACGGTAGCGACGTATAAGATGCGTTAATGTGGATGGCCGAAAGAAGCACCTAAACAAGTTTTCTCTTATTGGATTGAGGACCTATTGGAATTGCTCATATAACGTGCCGAGACGTTTTGTGGAACCAATCAAGATGTCTGCACAGTCCACCTTCCTCTTTCTTTTGGCAACCATTTGTGGGTGTCAGCTGCTGTCAGTTACAAGCGCGTCTTCCTCGAACGCCTTCAGTTGTTCCGACGGCAATAATGACAATGGCTGCGCTTGTTTTATCGAACTTCCTGAACTACGAAATGCTGTCAAGAAGTTTATCAACGATGGTTGTTCTGACGACAACAATTGCAACAACACTGTCGTGCAAACTTATGGTTGGCCAATGGGATCCTGGTGTGTTTCGAATGTCACAATATTGAATTCCTTGTTCTTTGGTGCAAGTTCTTTCAATGATGACATTTCTTCTTGGGATGTTTCTTCCGTTACTGGCATGGGAAGCATGTTCAATGGCGCATCTTCGTTCAATCAGGATTTGTCAACATGGAATGTCTCTGCAGTCACGGGTATGGAGGCAATGTTCAGAAGAGCAACGTCTTTTAATCAAGATTTATCATCATGGGATATAACTTCTGTCACAGCCATGTTTTGGATGTTTCAAAGTGCTCTATCGTTCGACCAAAACTTGTCATCTTGGGATGTTTCGAACGTCAAGAATACGCAGGGAATGTTCTTTGGGGCATCATCATTCAATGGAGACCTTTCATCGTGGGATGTTTCTTCTGTCACAAGGATGGGTCTAATGTTTCAGGGCGCAGCATCCTTCAACCAAGACTTGTCATCGTGGAATGTTTCTTCCGTTACAACAATGCATCGGATGTTTTATAATGCGTCATCCTTCGACCAGAACCTATCATCTTGGGATGTTTCTTCTGTTGCTGACGTAACCGCAATGTTTCGCGGTGCGTCATCTTTCAACCAGGAATTGTCATCTTGGGATGTTTCTTCTCTTGTTGACATGACTGAGATGTTCCGTGATGCATCATCATTCAATCAAGACCTGTCGTCATGGAATGTTTCTTTGGTTAGTGATATGCAGTCAATGTTCAATTCGGCATCTTCATTCAATCAAGACTTGTCGTCGTGGGATGTCTCATCTGTCACAAACGCGAGGTACATGTTCGAAGGAGCATCGTCTTTCAATCAAGATTTGTCTTCGTGGGATGTTTCTGGATTCACGGATATACGTGGGATGTTCCGAGGCGCATCATCGTTCAATCAAGACTTGTGCTCTTGGCGAGCAGGATTAGAGATTAAACCTTTGGATTTTCTGATGTGTTTTTGAACTCGGGATGTTCATACACATTAGAAGGGAATTTGGATGAAGGTGGACCATTTTGCGGATCCACTTGCACGGAGGAGGTCAGTGTCTCTCCATCTCCCACCGTTGTTACAAGTCCAACGATTACTCCTACTTTGGGCGTCAGTGTACCAAATCCCCTGCCAACTGTGAGTTCAGCCAGTCCATCGGCAAGCCCAACAAACTATCAGACGATTACTCCTACTTTGGGCGTCAGAGTACCAAGTCACCTGCCAACTGTGAGTACAGCCAGTGCATCGGCAAGCCCAACAAATCCTCCGACTTTGGACGAAAGTTCAACGAGGAGTAGCCCAACTTTGGACGAAAGTTCGACGTGCACCCCATTAGTGTACCCAGCAGTACAAAGCTGGAATGATTCGCCCACGTGGACCCAATTCGTGGACTGTAAAGTGTATCATCAATTATGCCCACTCACAATCGATACCAGCTGACTCTCTCATCTCCGGCAAAATAAATCAAGTTTCGTCGTCATTGTGGCTCAATTGTTGCACTGAACCGAACATCTGTCATAGGATTAGCACCATTTCACTCCACCCACTGAATCTTTTGACATGTTTTTCGTTATAGGAGTAGGACTCTTTGTTTCGCATTAATTTCCTATCAGCATGGGAAACGTGCACTGGAGTGGCTTGTCACTCTCATACCATATACCGGTATCAAGAATTCATCATCACCCTACGATGAAGTAATTCTATTGAGTGTGTGGTACAGGCTTAGTCCTTATCGCCCGGACACCTCGAACTGTCTTTTACAATAAAACGCAAATGTATCGACATTGTATGCGACCTGTATACTGTACTTGTTACAAGGCTCGCAACTCCGACAACTACAGATTGTATTGATCCACTCCACTTCTAATTGCTTTGTTGCACGCCAAGGCGAAAGTTCAATCTCCAAACAGTGTCATTTATTGCGTTTCTTCCCAATAACTTCCCAATCACAAACAAACCAAAGATATGATTACCAACGCAATGGAATTTCCGTGCGTCGAGGCCACTCGTTGTTATATTGCAGAAAAGGAGCATGGTCTGCGTCTGTGCTATAATAACCATAATGGCAAGAAGCAGAAGGATGATGATAGTATCGTCGGAACTCTCAGCTTTACGTCGAGCCGGGGTTCGGAAGCCGAATGGTATGTGCACATGGAAACGACTAGTACTCATTCATTCTTCCATGAAGAGACCAAACTGGGACAAGAAGAACGCATATTACAATTGGCACATTGTCAGACTGGTCACTTCCTTTGTGTCACGAGCGAGGGGGGTGTTGGAATCCAAGCCAAGCCATCCAAAGATACCAAGTGGACAATGGAGAATAATTTTGCTACACTAAATGACGATCCAGATTGCAAGGCATCCTTTCATCTTCGATCGAGTCTGGGAAAGCTGCTTCGGATAACCAAATCTGGTCAAAAGAAGAACAAACTAATACCGGAAGGATTTCTTTCTCCAGCATTTCTACAAGGAGGACTGATTCCCGGAACAACATGCGAGTATCAAGTATCCACTGTTGACAATGATGATTTTGAGGACGAGGACAATAGTAGTGCCGAATCATCATCCGCGGCTGTCTTTGAACTGGAATTCACCTCGGGGGAACTTTGTTTTGTATCCAACCCCGTCCTGCACAGTCAAATTCGGTGCAATCCCCTTGGACAATTGAGCTTGACCCAAAAATCTGCCTGTCAAGAAGTCTGGCGCTTTATCGAAGTGGGTAATGGTGGCGCTCTGGTGATTGCCACTTGGTCCCACGCCCAAACCTTTTATCTCAGCAGCGATGGAGATGGCAATGTCTTTACCACCAAGAATCGACTGGGGCACAATGAGCGATGGAAGTTGGAGCGAACCGAAAATGGTGCTCGGATTGTCAGTGTGGCCCACAAGGGGCGGTACTTGAGTGTGGGAAATGATGATGGAGAAGCCCTGTTTCGAACCACCACACAACCTAATGATTATGCCAAGTGGCACACGGAGGCGGCCCATTCGAATACCTATCATTTGCAATCCATTTTTGTGACGTCCTTAAAGGAAGATGCACCTTACATTTCGAGTGATCGCAAAGGAAGAGCATCCCTGAGCAAACACAAACGGGATTGGGAAGAATGGAAATTAGAACGATTCGATGACGACTACGTCACCCTCTATTCCAAAAAGCATGAACAATATTTGGGAAGCAACTCTGTGGGAGAGGTCACGACCACCAAAAAGGTGGGAGAATGGTCACTTTGGTCCATTGAACAGTCCACCTATGGAGGAATCTATCTGAAATCCAAAACCTATCAACGGCGATTGGCCGTGGTGGGAGAGGGAGAAATGTCCACGTTATGTACGACGAAAGAGCAGTACTCTAGTCACGAAACGTGGAGATTAGAACCATGCCTCCCATTCTTTCTCAGTCCCACCAAGATTGCTGCCATGGCATCGGCCGGAGTACTTGGGTTGGCGCTGACCGTTGCCATGCCCTATGCCTTGCTTGGTATCGTAGAAGTAGGTGCCGCCGAGGCTGCTGGATTGACAGCACTACGGGTCTTGGTGGGAGCTGGAATGGTAGGAACGACTGGCGTTTGTGTCGTCGATACGGACCCAAGTGCGGCCATGCCATCCAGCCCCACCGCCATGGAAGACTATCTAGTGGCATCCTGCCGTCCAATATGCGCATGGCAAAATTGGTAGGCCGTTGCTTGGCTACCACTTATTGCCATTGTTTGTAATTGTAAAAATTAATACACAGATTTCTCAAAATGATAACTTTTGTGACTACTACTAATACAACTAAACTCTTGTGTTACTGCAGAGAAAAGCCACTAAACTTCAGCCCTATTGGGAGAATATCCATCCGGATCCATCGATCTTCGCGAGGGTTCTGGGTCCTCTTCTTGAATGCCTCCAAGTCTCCCGATTCGGCTCATCGTCATGTTGTCATATGACATGAGACTTGCAACCTCGATACTGCCGTCCGAGGTACCACGCACCAGCGTGGATCGAGACTTGTACGAAGTGTCGCTCGTAATGGACGAACGCGACTTGAATGATGATACACTGGCATCCTCGTCAAATCCTTCTTGAATACAGTCCAAACTTGGAATGTGATCCGACATTTGCTTCTGGACACGACGGCCCCTTGGCGATCGCTTGCGGCCAGCTTCTCGAAGCGGAACACTCGTCATCGCCTTGGCCCAGTTGTCCATCCAAGAACCATCGTCATCGTCATCATCAAGGAGTCCTCTCGGGCTTTGTGACGTTTCACTCCACATGTAATCGGCATCAGCCGTGTCTTCCTCGGTCACGCAGGCGGCAGAATCGTCATCTTTGATGTGCTCGTCATCCGATTGCTTCAAAGACCAGAAGACGTAGCCCCAAAGGACAAGCAATGCAACAATGAAGAAGATGGCAAAGCTGATGCCTGTCTTGATGGCGTCTTTCCATTTGGATTCAGTCTTTTCGTCAATCTCAATAACTGACTCTTGTTTCTTTCTTCCAGCTTCCACGTAGCCATCGGCAAGCATGGTGATCTTGACATCATTCACTCCATCTAGAACATCATCGCTGAGGAACTTTTTCGCCAGAGTCCAGTAATTGCCTTGTTGAAATGCCTCAATGAAGAAAATTTCCATTTGAGACTGAGTCAAGTGAGGTCCAGCAAACATTTCGAATTCTAGAGTGAGCTTGAGCTGACAATTGTAACTTCCCAGAATGCCATATGTCCGCATGTATTCGTTTTCTTCTGTCGGAGGATCCGTTTGCCTCCAATCATAGAAGGCATTCAAATTCACTCGGTTGATGGTCACATTGCTGGCATAGTTGTGGCTGTACAGCTTCTCTTGGTAGAAATCAATCAAATGATCTTGAACTGTGCTTGTGACTCTTTTTTGAAATTCTACTTTCTCGTTGTTGTTTGCTTTTTTCGCAGTCAACATCATGGTCATGGACGGCAAGTCAAACACACGGGTTTCCGTCCGTGCCGAAGTTGCCACTACGCTTAGGCACATCCATAGTAATACCTTCAACATGCTTTTGTTTGTTGCTGTTGTTGCTGCTGCTGTTCTGGTCATCTTTCGCTTGGTGCTGTTGTACAAAATGTTCTCGTTTCGAAATGAGTAGGTGCGCCTTGATGGTTCCAACGCATGAAACCAGTGTCACATTTTATAGAGTGACATGCTCGGACCATTTAACGCTGCTTTTGTTTTTGTATTCATCAATGAATATATTTTATATACAAATTTCATTTATGGGCAGTTTCCAAACATCATGTAAAAAGTACAGTGCCACTGTACTACGTGTACTAGCGTTGGTGGACTATTTTTTGTTAGTGAGAAGTGTTTCTACTCTAGTCTAGGAGTCAGTCATCACATGATCACGTTTCGAACCCAAGGTGAATACGACAAGGTGACATTGCATTGGGTTTGATGGGCCAAATGTATTAGTTGGGCACGCTGGAAACCCGTGGAGGTGCATTCATCATTATCAGCAACAGACACTACCACTGCTATTCGAATATTTCTAATATATATAACACGAGTGTTAATTCATCTATTTTCCCCTTTGAAGTTGCGACGTTAACGTTATATTCAATGTTCTCATAATAGATCTATTGCTGACCTGAGAACTTGATCTCTCTATACCATATTAAAATGGTGAACCTTTCTACATTGGCCCACCATCCTCCATTCTCAATTCATCATTCCGAATGTACGTGTACAGTGCAGATTATTTTCTTCATGCATTTGTCCATCTTTAGACCTTGATGAAATCATTTTCCACAATGTGTTCTTCACGCGTATAGGTTTCTTTGGACATGATTCCTTCGTGGATCTCATACGCAAGAAACGCATGTGGGTACAAAACTAATGCACCGACCACGATCCCAATTAGGTGCAATCCAAAGAGGTCAATGAGGAGTCCAATGGCAAATCCAGCAGTTGCCGCTCCGACCATCCACAAGACATAGTTCAAAGCTCCCAATGCGCCAACTATACTCAGCGCAATTCCCAAAAATCCATTCTCAAAGGCGTACCAGGCAGCGCTAAATGTCTTGAATTGAAAGCCGGTAATGATGATTCCCACCGAAATGGCAAAAATATTAAAGACATTAACAAAGACGACGGCAATACGCATGTCGCAAATGAAACCAAAGAGGAGATGGCCTTGTCGTTCTTCCACGCCAGAATGCGCTTCGTATTCCGTGGTCGATTCTTGATTGTCTTCTTGAGGTTTCGTCATTGTGTTGTTGTTATTGTTGTTGTTGTTGTTGTTGTTGTTGTTGTTGTTGTTGTTGTTGTTGTTGTTGCTTTGTATTGACGTTTGGGTGATTCTATTGAGTGTTTTGTTGCTGGTGTTGCTGTTGCTGTTTTCTTGCACCCCTGTGGTTAGTAGTAGTGTTATTGAGGTATTGACAAGCAATGCTACTATTTGAATGATCGATTGTTCCGCTTTTTTCGTTGTTTTGAGATGAGATATGATCGCAAACACGACGAACACCGTTATCCAACGAGTTCAAACAAAGATTTCCGGGCCTATTTTCATATTCAGAATGTACAGATCTGAGGATAATTATATGCTGGCATACTCCTACCAAATCGATCGCAAAATTTCTGGCCTGTCCACGTACGTCAGATCCCCTTTTTCTACTTCTCCAAAGGTCAATTTTAATTCTGTCTTCCATCATCTCCATTTTTCATTTTGACATCATCATCGCATCATCATCATCCACATTTTACCCAAGTTGATTTCCTATCCCAAATGGCAGCAGTTTCAAGCCAAGATGATGATGATGCTGATGCTGATAAATCCAATGATGGTTCCTTTGAATCCGCATTGAATGCCTTGTTCTCACCTTTGCATCAGTCGACCACCAAGGAAGCCATTGCCAAGGCGGCCCAGAGGCGTACCTCAACGGTGAACGACATGCGCCTCTATTGGAGTTGTTTGTCCGATGTGCCGCAGAAGCCAAACAAGAGGAAGATGATTCACATTACGGGGACCAAAGGAAAGGGATCGACGGCGTGTTTTTGTGAGAGCATTGTGAGAACCCATGGATGTTCGACGGGTCTCTTTACGAGTCCTCATTTGATCGACATACGGGAACGCATTCGATGGAATGGAAGGCCAGTGCATGGAAATATCTTTTCCAATGCCTATTGGAAGATTCGACGCGACTTGGAGGCATCCATTACAAAGTTGGAAAACGAGGATCTTCCAGTCTTGCCAGGATACTTTCGAATGTTGACGCTGATGGCCTATTACATTCTGGAAGTAATGCTCGAGGTGGATGTGCTGATAATAGAGGTTGGAATGGGAGGGAGATATGATGCTACCAACTTTTGGGATGTGACGGACGATAGCGCAGTAGTTTGTGGCGTCACAAAACTAGATTTGGAGTAAGTTATATTCGAGCATATCCCCTGAACAAACAAACCATCATTATGATGATTGCACAACGAACTCTAACCAAACGTCATTCTTTGATTGCAAGTCACACTCGCATTCTAGGAAATACTGTAGAACTTATTGCTTGGGAAAAAGGTGGAATATTCGCCCGTGATAAGGCTGATACGGTCAAGATATCTTCCAAGCAAGTGACAAGAATTGAACAGGAATCCGATGAAACCGGTGCTGAGAAATCTGCTTCCAACTACCAACCACCTGGTGGTGCCTTTCTATTGGACAGCAATACTCCAGGAGTGATTGCCATGTTTCAATCCTGTGCGAAAATAGAAGGTTGTGGACGACTCGACTTGCTACTCGTGGACGCCACGGGAGCTCGACTTGTAAAAGCACTGAATGGGCGTCCTCTAGGCTTGGCAGGGGAACATCAATACGGCAATGCCACTCTGGCAGTGCACCTGTGTCAAGCCGTGTTACCAGAAGACAATATTTCCATCGAAAACCCAAAAACAATAGAAGGCGTACAATCGGCACAATGGCCAGGTCGCTGTCAAGTATTGGAACGACAGCCTTGGACGTACTTGTTGGACGGAGCCCATACGTTGGATTCCATGACTGCCACGGTCGACTTCTTCTCGCAGCAAGTCAAGCAAAACGAAGAGTGTGTACTCATCTTTAACTGTAGTCATGAGCGCAACCCGATCGAATTGCTTCGATTGTTGCTACCAATTTCCATTTCCAAGGTGTACTTTGCCAAAAGTGATTCCTCACGGCCATCTCCCGTGGCAGTACCCAATGCAAAATTGTTATTACAAGACCAAGGCATTGCAATCCAATCCGAACTTTTAGAAGAGGATGAAAAGCCTACATGGCAAGAAACCTTGGCATCTGTTTGGAAGCACTTGACGGCCGAATGGGGCTCATCCACCGCGATAAGTTGCAACTCGAGTGCTCGAATGGTTTTGGATGATCTAAACGCGAATTACAAGCCATCCAAAGTGCTAGTGACTGGCTCCTTATACCTAGTTGGATCCATTCTGACGACAGTAGAATGGACCGAAGAATCATCTCCAGACATTGGCAATCCATTATAATAGACCGATGGCAACGAACAGTACTTTTGGCAAGGGATTATAGATTTTAAATATACTATACTGTCATTATTCATGTGTTGCTGCCATTCGAGGCGCTCAAATGTTTATTCTAGTCATCGTCACATGATATTCGTTGCCTCTAGTTGCCAAGATTTGCTTGAAACCCATTCCCCCCTAAAGAGTGAAAACTTAGTAGTCTTTGACAACGTATGGGCAGGTGTTGTACAGCTTCTCGTTCTTCAATGCGTTCAAAGAAAATTCTGCAAGATCAATATTGGTGATTGCAAATGGGCCAGGTTGCTAGAGGAAGTAGTGATCGAGATTGGATCGTGTGAGGAAATGAAAGTTCAGGTATCATCGATCATATCAGAATTTATCAAGTATACTTACCGATTTCGAAGCGGCCAGCTTCCGCTTGGAGGGCTTGTCCCAAATCAAATCACTGGGCCGCGTAATAATATATCTACACGAGTCCTGGTCCAGTTGAGTGGAAAGGTATGCAACAATCTTGTCCTGCTCAGCCAGAGCTTCACGCTTGGCCTTTGTGATTTGCATTTTCTTGACAAGACTGGAGAGGATTGGAGTGGATCCTTCGTTATCAAGTGCCACAGATGAAGCCTGACAAGACAAGAAGAAAGAAGTTAGACAACGAGTGGTGGTGATTTCATATGATGAGCCGAAATGCGTGCAACTTACCTGATACAAGAGGACTCTCTTGGACCTAACTCGCTCCAAAATGGAAACCAGGCGTTGGATGAATCGGTAGTTGGAGTGACTGGATTCGCCATCTTTCTCTTCGATAATCTTGGTACAATCGCCTAGCATACATACAACATAAGATGCCTTCTTCAGAACACGCTCAATCTTTTGCTCTTCATCAAGAGTGCCAGTGACTACAGTCAGATTCTTGCTTTCTGGAATATCCAACTGGACTCCTGGCAGGAGCAAAACGCGGACTCGATATCCTGCTTCCAAAGCGAATTGTAGGAAATGTTGGCCAGTGGTTCCATATGCTCCAAAGAGAGCAATCACATTGTCACTTGTATGCAAAAAGTTCTCATCTCCTTCATCGACAGTTGTATGCTCTCGTCGAACCTCGTGACGACTTCTTCTATCATGACTTGTTCGCTGGCTCCTTTCTTCTTGTGCGATCTTTGTTCGGCTGATTCTTTTGTTGTGATTGTAGTTGGAACCACCAGCGATTCTTCTGGATTGAGAATCTGTGGTTTGTCCACTTCTTTGGGAAGCGCGAGAATCTTTGCTATCCCAAGAATAGGATGCAGGGATTCCTCCACTTTGAGAGCCATACGATTGCTTCCTGACGTCTCCACGATGCTCGCTGTAAGATCCAGCACTTCCTTCTCGAAGGTGATTGGATCGGTGACTGGTGGAGAGTGGCTTTCCATAGCTTGGGCGGTTGTGAAAGGATGAAGTGAATCCCAAATGCTCCATCATGGGATCATGGCCCAAACCCAAATTTTCTGCTCCTCGGTACTCCATCTTTGCGACTATTGCTGCTTCTATCTTTTGAATGAATGAATCCTATAAATGCAATGCACTGTAGCTCCGAACCTCTGTTTTTTTAATTGTGTTTTGATGGTTGCTTTGTTTTGTGTAAATCCGTTAGCTAAAAGGTTCGCACGTTGCATCGGCCGGCGTACTCAGGATTAAACGACCTAGTTTGAGTCACGAATGTACGTCTGCCTGCCGAAAAAAACGGACGACACTCATGATTTCCAACCAACCAGAACATAAATCAGAAATTCATACCATCACATATTTTTCATCCATCACCAAAGCAGGATGGGCGAGGACGACGACAGTGACAACGAGCAGAAACCAAATCCAGAAGAGGAAGACAATGGAGCCGGAGATGCCTCTGAAGCACCAAAACGAAAGCGCAAACGTAAGCGCAAGAAAAAGGGTACTGAAAATGAAGGTGACGACGGACAGGAAGGGGATGCCGTCGACCAGCAACACAGTCAAAACTCTGTCGAATGTACAGTATATGTGGAGGGGATACCATTTGAAGCCAAGCCTGATCAAGTGAAAGAATTCTTTGCTTCCCATGGTATCGAAGATGTGAAAGAAATGAGATTACCAACCTGGCAGGATTCTGGGAGATTGCGTGGTTATGGGCACGTTTTGTTTGGCTCCGAATCATCCTTCAAGAAGGCTTTGGAGCTTTCTGGAAAGTATTTACAGAAGCGATACTTGACAATCCAGGCTGCCAACGCTCCTAAAGGAGGAGGTGATAACCGACCACGAGTTAGTCTTGATCCACCACCAGAGGGTTGCGCTACACTCTTTGTCCACAACTTGCCCTACGGTGCCACCGAAGACGAAGTGTCTGAAGTATTTGGCAAGCATGGTGATATTGCAGATGACGGCGTTCGCATTGCTCGTAACTCTGTCACTCGTCAGTCGAAGGGTTTTGCCTACGTCGAATTTCAATCTGCCGACGATGCCCAAAAGGTCATGAAGGCATGTGCGAAGCGTGCCTTCTCGGTAGGTGGGCGCATGGTCCGCTTGGACTACGACACGGGGCGGATGAAGGGATCCTACCGATCGCAAACCGGAAGGCTGTATACCAAGGAACAGAGTGAAAAGCGACAGAAAACCAACTAATTGCATAGTTCACATTGTAGTCCTATCATAATCCTGAATTTAGTTCGTATATAATAGTGTCTAATACGAACTTTCATTGGTAACAAGGGCGCGAGGACATATCCACTTGTTTCGAGGAGATAGATCCAATCCATGGCTACATGACTTGCCATTCGTCACTTTCTTCACTTTCTTGTGTTTGAGTGACAAGAAGATCAATATTTTCTACAGAGACAGTTCCTTGATGAACACGGTATGGCTCCGGCTCGGCAAGCCCCCCGAGAGCGAGAGCAAGATCAGCAGTCGCCACAGAGATAGTATCCCCATCAGTTATGATTGGTACTGGAGTGGTACGTTCAGCTACTCGTGCTTGTCCCTCCGACTCGTCTTGGTCATCTGTTCTGAAAAGGCTTGCCGACTCCAATGGTTGCCGACTCCATTGCACGTTGAAACTGCCCATGCGGTCGGGTTCAGCTTGCGATGAAATCTCGTTGCCTCTTGCCCTGTCCGTCGATGCACAATCTTGATTGTCTCGTTGGTCCACAATAATCGTACCTGCTGCTTCCTTAGCAGCCAAGTGCTCCCTTTTCATCTCCCAGATTCTTTGGTTTTGGGATTCGACCATGCCCTTGTAAGTTTCCAGTTGCCATTGCAACTGCCGTTCCTGTTCACTCCGATGACTCTTCATGGCATCCAAACTCGCAAAATTATTGAGCTGTTCCACCATGGTCGACCACTGAGACTCGTACTTTTCCAGCTTGTCACAAACATTATTCAATCGCTGACTCAAAGCAACATTTTCTTGCTTGGCTTCATCTAGTGCCCGATTGAAGCGAGATGCTTGTGCTTGCAAGGTGCTGGAAGCTTCTTCTTCAACAGCAGACTCCAAACTCTGACAGGAATCGGAACGTGCTCGGAAGGAAAGATGCGGAGGTCCATTCCTTTCGCATCGACGACGCACCAGACTACCGTGCGAACCGGAAATAACTTCGTCATCCGATTCGTAAAACACAATCTCCTCCTCTTGCGCTCGATATGGCAGGATTCTTTGGAGCCTGGGACAGTTCTTGAAAACATCGTATTGGTCAATATTCAAAGACGATGGAACTTCTACCAAAGTCAAGGCGGTACAGCCAGAAAAGGCCAATTGGCCAACTTGTTTCGTGCATGGAGGAATCTTGACAGTTTGCAACGAACTGCAACGAGAAAGAGCCCGTTTTCCAATAATTCGGAGCTGCGTCCTATCCAGAGACACCTCTTTCAAGCTTTCACAGCCGCGAAAGGAATCAAGAGCAATTATTTCCAAGGTTCTCGGCAAGTGAACGAGTTCAAGAGATGTGCAGTTTCGAAAACAGCCTGTCATTAAAACCCAGACATCACACTCTGACAAGTCCGCCACTACTAGTTTTTGACAGCCATCGAAACAACGAATTCCGAGTTTCATAGTGTGTGGTGAGAGCTGAAGTTCTTGCAGCGAGAAGCAATGCTGAAGCACTTGTCGTTCAAATCGTTCCAATTTCAACAACGGAGCCATCAGATAGTTGGCATCAGCTTTCCTCCCAACTTTCATCGGCACAATGTCCAAATCCACTTGATCCTGAGTTACATTATTGGGTACCTCGTGGGTGTCATAATCGAATTTATAAACCTCATTCCGTTGGCTTGTCATAGTGGAAGCTTTTCCCAAAAATGATGATTCAGCAGAAGCAAAAGACTTGAAATAAAAAAGAAGACACCCAAGTCTTTAATTCCGAATGGAAGAAGTAATTCTCTTAGTCCACCTTGGAGAGTTGTGAGTCATTGGGACTCCCTTTCCTTGATGGGAGTGCCACCATTTCGGTCCCGACTTTCGATCAACGAATGGCTGGTGTATGTGCCTCAACTATCAGTTTTCACAAGTCACAGCACACGGCGTGAAAATTTCTGGAGTACGATAGCGCCAAGACCGTTCCACGACAACAAAGTATGCATCCGAAAGATTCTTCCGCCATCATCGTCACGTTCCATTTGCTGCACTATCCTACTGTAGCAGTGCACCGGGATCCTCATCGTCATAGTCGATAATGAATGAGAATCCATTTCAGTATGTTCGATGTGGGGGATATTAGGTTTCCATTTTTGTTTGGGGGGTCCCAAACGTACGAATGACAGAAGATGGATCACAAATTTCCATCCATCGAATAAAACGACGATGATAGAATTATTTTGAACATGAAACGCAAAAGAGATGGTGAAAAGACAGAACCAATGGAAGACGTCCTACTGGTGCCACCTACCTTAACTCAGTCTACCTACGCCCTCCTTAAGCGATGTAATGCTGTTCCGCTTACGCATCATCTGTAGGTGAACTATGATTGCTTGTCCTCGCCGCTCGTCTCCTATCATCATCATGTGATGATGACAATAACAAACAGCATTAGAATGCTCGCTCATTGCATACTTTTTATTTTGCATTACATTGTTTCTCGCAACAGTGAGGGTCGATTTGGGAGTCGAACCTACCGGGTGAATGAGACGCACATTGGACTACCAATTCTATCGAAGGAGGTCCTGGAACAACAGGCCGCCAAGCATGTCGAATTGAAGGACTTTTTGGAGAATAAAGAGGTGTCGGTCGCCTCAAGACCATTCTACAAAACGCATCGTTTCAAAGAACCACCAGAATTTGATGCTCGAATGCACCCGGAGAGAGAAGTGAAACGAGAAGGACCAACTGAACCAACTCCAATAGTCTCAAGATCGGAAAACGACGACGATGATGACGACAAGAAGAAGACTCCACCATTGTTTACCTATGCCGAACTCTTCGCGGGGATTGGTGGATTTGGCGTGGCATTAGAAGCTCTGGGAGGTCAATGTTTGTTCATGAGCGAGCTAGAAGATCACATTCGCGAATTGTATTGTCACAATCTACACGCCACCAACGTCCATGGCGACATTTACAAGGTGAAGGATTCCGAGTTTCCAGACAACAATTTGGATCTGGTGGTGGGAGGGTTCCCATGCCAACCATTCTCAGCGTTGGGGAACCAAGATGGATTTGATTGCGAAAAGGGTCGAGGGCATTTGTTTTTGGAAATTATTCGCCTACTCAAAAAGTCCCGGCCAAAGGGGTTCTTGCTGGAGAATGTCCCCGGATTGCTCACCATGAAGGAAACTTTTGAAGCCATTGTCGAAGCTTTTGATAAAGCTGGATACCAAGTGACGACAGAAGTCTGCACGGCTCGTGGACTCACGGCGACACAACGGAAACGACTCTTTCTAGTAGGAATTCGCAACGACATTGCCAAGAGCACCAAGAAACCCTTTGAATTTCCTTATATTCCCGACTTGAAACTTCGAGCCGAGAATATACTGGATTACGACGAACTTCCTCAAGAAGAACTAGACATTCTTCGACTACCCGATTCCACCTTTGAGCAACTAACAGGTGGTAAGAGGTGGCGACCAGCCAGCATGGCGTGGCCCAATCGGACCCTGGACACAATGACCAGTCACTATGGAAACGCCGTTGGTCGAGGAGAGTCTCAGTTGGTCCCGGGCTGCAGTCCTCACAATCCTCGTCGGTACTCCATCCGAGAGTGTGCGAGGCTAATGGGCTTTCCCAATTCCTACAAAATATTGCCACAACGAGAGCACCAAGGCGACATGGCCTATCGAAAAGAAAACTATCGCATGTTCGGCAATGCTGTTTGTCCGCCGCTCATGGCCATTTTGGCGGGAGCCGTCTTGGCATCGTGTAGTAGTACTGATGCAGGCAATGCAGACAATAAGGCAATAGACTGGGGGAAGCGGGGGCATGATGTCGCTGTTCAACTTGCACAATCCTGTACGAGGGGCGACTCTGTGGACCTTCCGATTGGATGTCAAGTAGTTCCTGACAGCTAGTATTATTTTAAAAGCTCACGCAGACGATGCAATAAGCAATAAGTTGTTACATTATAATAGAAGACACATGAATTTTATATTATATACTGCTAGATAGTAATGGTTGGGTTTGCCGCAACGTTATTTCGTTCCATCAGTTTTTCCTTCAAATCTTCCTTCTCCAACCTTACACTTTGGATCATGTGATCAATCGATTCTACAATTTCCTGATATTCATTCAACTTGTTTCGAATGTTTGCTATGCAAACTTCATAATGCCCCGATAGTTTGGTGAGGCGCTCGTGGGCTTCGATGATTTCAAGCTTTTTCCGTTCGGTTGCGGAGGATGCCTTATTGCTTCGTTTCATTTCCTCTCGAAAGGGATTCTTCCTTGACTCTCTGTTATTGCTACTATGATAGCGCTCCATGATGCTGTATGTTGATGCTGACATTCAATAAGCGATTGCTCGATCCAATGTGCATGCTCCTGCAGCATGATGGAGGATAGATCATTTTGCATTCCGCAACTTCTCCGTTGGATTGTTGTGTGAGTCACTCAAAGGTATGGTGATTTCAGATAAAGCAATTGATTTGATCCCTTCATTCATTCCCATCGTGACGACTCCATAGACGGAACGCAATCAGTTGAGAGAATGTTGCTGCTGCTTTGAGCTTTTGAGTCCTCCTCGTGCTTTTGAAACAACTCCAATGCGCAATCTCATTGGAAGGTATGGAAGCATGGGGGTATTAGAATACTCCTAAATCGAAACGACACCCACCGCAACCAACACGACACTTGGGTGCTTTTTTCGTTTTTATTGTGTTCCTTATTATGATAAAATATTAGAAAATATAAAAAAGTCGAGACCGGTTCTCCCGAGAGTCCATAATTCGTCAGTTGATCGGCAGCTATTATTTTTTATGCGGTCCCAATACTTGCTTGAACTACATGCGCTCCTAATCTTCTCGTCTTGCAGTCCCTCCACTGATTGATTCCCGCCAAAAATGTTTGGCAGGCGTGTCACAAAAATATCGAAGCGAGAAAATTCGCTTTTCCGAGCCAATGTCACACGAAACGGTAACTATTCAGCATGGAGACATATCCACACAGCCAACATCGTTCACCTTCATCATCATCCAATACTTTGTTGCATCCACTATAGGTTCTCTGTTTGGCATTTTAAAGTCGAGACACTTGCTTCAGTCACCCTGCGCAGTAACTGCATCACCTTCGTCTGCAAGGATCCTTGCGAAGAACTCAGCATACCAAAATTTAGTCAAACTTCAGAAGACTTTCTGAAATTTTGGAATTCTTGATTGCCGGTTAACACAATGGGGATGCGTGAATCATACTTTTGGTGCCTTGTAGTACTGATAATATGTATTGGTTTTACATCGGTTCAAGCGGGTGAAGTTTCAGCACGATCCCTGCAAGAAAGCACCAATTGTCAATCACAGCAAAGCATTCAGTATTATTCCATCCCACCCTTTGCGGTACAATTTACCACCTTGGACGTGAACGAAATACCTGCCGTCAGCAATGTCGTAATTAGCGAAACGGATGCCAAGGCATCATCACTCACGTATCCATTGAAAGTTCTCACGGAAGAATTTATCGTTTCTAAATTTCGAGAACGCATCAATTCAATGAATTTGTCGTCGTCGTCGTCATCACAACAAATGTACCATGACTATTATCGACAATTGACCGAAGTGGAATTGCGTGTCATCCTAAAACACAACCCCAAAGTTACGGACATTGCGGGCCATGTGGCATTGATTGCAACTTTGCATGGGACGTTGCACTTTTCCCATTCCAGCGGATGCGGAGGTACCACGCTGGTGCCATCCCAAGACGATATCACCATTACGTTTGGAGCTTGGCTAGAGTCCATTTTGGAAACGAATCGGAATGAATATTTGCAGCGCCTGCTTGCGAGCAACCAAGAAATGCTCAAGGAAATTGTTGATTTTCAGCTCGTCCCAAATTATTTTCAGGATGGAACTGGTGGAGAATCCTGGCTCATGGCCGTGTGGGTGGTCCTTGCCATTTTGGGACTATGCGGTCTCGGTGCTGCTTTGGTCTGGATGATGCGGGGCAAACCACCCATGAAAAGTTTTGTTGGAGGATCTCCGTATGATCCAAATCATCATTCCCCTGCTTATACAGACGATGACGTTGATTCGCTTCGTCTCAGCAGCCAATTGGATTCGAAGCAACATGGAATGAACGAATCCGCACATCGCCGGCACTCGTTGGATATACTGAACAAGAGCGAAGAATACCTTACCAAACATCGGCCCGATTGGACCGAAGGCGGAGGGCACCCGCAAGGCAATTTCACCAAGCCATTTGGAAACATCATGTCGCTTTTTGACCTTTCCACGAGTGACGGAAGCAATCATAGTGTGACAAATACACCAGAAAAGACACCACGCGGTCGCCGGTCCTTTGCCACAAGACAACGATCTAGCATTGAACTACAAGCGGGCAACATTGCAGCAGCCAATTCGGAAGATCCGTCTCCGTTTGATGATGTCAACTTGAATCAATCGAATCACGAGGCGTATTCTCCAGGCGGCCGGAGTCACGAGGAGGAAATTATGATGGCAGCGGCGGCTCAAAGTTCAGCGTACCGTCCCATTTCTAGTATATGGAGAAGTGTGACCAGTGCTTTTCAAGGTTCTTCGTCGTACAATGAGAATGATGGTATTATGACAAATGCAAATTTCTTTTACGATGGCAACGAAGACGAATACTTTGCCAAGTTGGAAGAAGATCGCCTGCAAGAAGAGCAATGGTTGACATTTTTGAAGGAGGAAGAGCAGAACTACAACTTTGCGTTCAAGGACTTTCCTCGGAAGGATGGAACGCCTTGCCTCATGTACGATGGATCGAACGAAAACGAGGCAGATGCTATTTTCAACGCTCCATTACCCAAGGAATCGACGACTGGCGAAGAAGAAGAAAGTGACATTTTCAACGCACGAGAGGTTCTTTCCGATGAAGCATTCCGACAGCTCCTCCATATGAATGTTTCTCCGAGCTTTGAGGAAACTCTGGAGTCACCATCACCGGCTCTACCGGTAACCTACAAATCTCCGGAATTCAATGAGCGCCTGTCGTCCCTTTTTGCTGAAAAGCACCGGCAATACGAGAAACGATCCATTGTGGAACGCCATCAACAGAAACGAAAGAAAGAACGAGAAATGGAGCGAAGAGAACGACAAAAAGATATGCATCGTGAACTAGAGGCACTGGAAGCTGGAATGGCCATGTCAGACAAGTGGCGGGCCAAGCATCATGTGTCTCCAAGACCATACGATCTATCTCCAGCCCGACCTTCCTATTCTCCCAACATTCACGTGAGAAAGAGCCCTGCAAGGAGGTCCCCGGTGCCACCTTCTGGTGGTCGACGATCACCCGTCCCCCCTCCTGGTGCTCGGCGCTCACCGGTTCCCCCAATGTTCCCAATGACGCATAGCATTCCTCCCAGGCATGTTGCTTCGAAATCCATTGACACGCTTGATAGCGACTCTTCCCTCCAGCTGATTCGTCCTCGCATGTCCCGCCCACCTTCTGCTGCACCGCCCAGTGAACTCTTTTTGACGGACTCTCATCGCTATCACGAACCTTTGACTACCGACTTGGATCCATCCAGCTTGGACAAGTTGAGCATGCCAGCAATGAGCAAGAACCCTAAGCACCCATCGCCATCTTCAGTACTGGACGATCTCAGCCAAATCCCTCCTACGAGCGGCAGCCTGATTCCTCCGCGCAATCCAGCAGCAATCCATCGGCGGAATAATTCGATTGAAAACCCACAATATACTACCCCTGGTACTGGCCAAAGGAAAACTATTGCATCCATGACGCCCCCTCGACGAGCGGCTTCTCCTCGTTTTGGTACTCGAGGTATGTCTCCTATTCGACATAGTACGGGCACTCGAGGCGTATCTCCAGCCAGAAGTGTTACTCGAGGAGTTTCTCCAGCAAGAAGTGTGAACTCCACAACACGTGGGATGTCTCCAGCCCGACATGGTGCTGCCTCACCATCTAGCAGAGGCCGACGACCTGCACGAGGCCCGTCCCCCAAGCCAGGTCCCCGTAGTGCATCCAATTCTAGCCGTCATAGTCGGGATGGGGGTGTCTTTGACCATGGGATTGCGGCTCTGATTTAGATCTTATTCACCCAAGTTTTAGAAAATATACACTATCCATGTTATGTTATGATAACTATATAAACAAATGATATGGTACTACTGTGGCTCACAGATTTGTGATGCCGTGGTGTCAATAGATCGTGGTGGTGGTGATGTAGTGTGGTGGTAGTTTACACGTCTCAAAAAATTCGCTAGTGCACATGCCAACAAAACAAAATTCTTCTCCTAAATCTCATCCCAAGCCCAATTGTGAAAGACATCCTCTTCTTCGTCCCACGATACTTTTGACAAGTCAGGAGCCTCAGAGAAAGCCTGATGAAGGACGTGGATTGGAGGTGAATGCGAGGGCGGTTTTGGCGTCAATTGTAGAAAGTGTGGCAATGAATGAGCACGATGCTTCTTGGCAATTTCGGAAGCCATGGTGATTTCATCAGCAAAGTAGACGCCGGAAGATGAAAAGTCGGAAGAGGAGTCTTGATTCACAAAGGCAACTGCCAACAAGGGCATGGAAAAGAGCAATGAAAATATTCGCATGGACAACGAGAATAAGAGAATAAGAGAAGACAAGTCGAAGGCTTTGAGGTTGATTGATGATGGATTGTTCGGGTTCGGTTGAGCTAGCGAGGATGGGTGCCGCCAACAGATCCTGTCGTGCAATCATATGAAGATGGCTGGCGCTTCCACGCCACTCAAGAATGACCATTGGTCGACTTCCTTGACTGCTTAGCGTCGCATTATATAGTGACATTTTCAATTCTGTGGAACGTGCGCACGAACGCACTTTGTGATCGGCAAACCGATGGCGCTTTCGATACGATTCTTGTCTTTCATGTGCGATCTCAATAGAAGCATTATGTTCGCCACCGTGAAGCCACTAGATAGGCATTTCGATCGCACTCTCTTTCCGCGACTGTCGACCGGATAACAAATTTATTGATAGTTCGCAATTTTCGTTAAGTTGGGTCGATTTGACGTAACCGGATAATGCCGCTTCGTATCGGCGTGAACAGGAGACACTTTGTCCTTTCTGGCCTACATACAATTTTGAAACGTTAACGCTTCCACAAAACAAAAACCCAAACCGAACACACAACACAACAAGCAAACAATCCAGCAATATGGTGGGATGTTGCAGACCTTCCGACAAAAAGCAAAAGGATGAAGTTAAAGCACCGTTAGCAACACTATCTGAAGTTTTCAGCTTCGCAGAGACACCTCGAGTCAAATTATTGATGGTCGCAGGTTGTATTTCTGCTTCTTTGGGTGGTCTTTGTGTGCCAGGTAAGCCTGCTGTTGAGGGTAATGAAAACAACCATACTGTATACCGATAGGCACTGACCGATTCACGCACTGTCCGCTCACAACTTCCTTATTGTAGCCATGGCATGGGTATTTTCAGATTCGTTCACAGACCTAACAGCATCACCTGATGATGAAGAGTTCATGTCACAAATAGGAGGGCTATCAGTGAGATTTGTCATAGTAGGGTAAGTAAACGAGACAGGGATGGGGTAATGAGACCATCAGACCTCAATCTCACACACATTCGTTCCTATTCCCTTCTCTCTCCTCTCTTTCTCTGATTCATTGATTCCAGAATCCTGATGTTCTTTTTCATGACACTTCATGGAACGCTCATCGACACTGCTGCTAATGAGATGACAAACTCGTTCAAGACCCAATGGTTCAAGAGCCTATTACGGCAAGATATGACTTACTTTGACATTATGGATATCAGTGGGACGGCCACTATCATTGGGGTCAATGGGATGAAATACAAGCAGGGGATGGGGATCAAACTGGGAGAAGGTATTCAGTTTTTCTTCACGCTAATTGGGGGCATCACCTTTGCCATATGGTCGTCCTGGAGAGTGACCCTAGTCATGATTGTGTCCGTACTTCCAATCATGGCACTGAGTGTGTTCAGCTTGATGAAAATGAATCAGACACAAAGTGCTCGGGCAGAGGAAAGTTACGCCAAGGCGGGATCGATTGTACACACTTCCGTAACTTCGATTCGGACTATTCTGTCCATGAATGGAGTCGAGGAAATGATTCAACGATTCACGGTGGCTACCCAAGAGGCATTTGAAGGTGCCTCGAGTCAAGTCATTTATGTGGGAGCGGCAAACGGTGCTGTCATGGGAAGTCTCATGCTGTGCTACATTCCACTGGTCTTGTATGGAGGCTACCTTGTATATGAGGGGATCCGAGAATCAGGATGCGATCCTTCTGGTGCTGTATCATCCAATGTGGAATGTACGCCTTCTGCTTCGGGAGTGTTTGGTGCCATGCTTGGTGTGACCTTTGGGAGCGCAGCATTGCCACAAGTTTTGGGTGCCATTCAAGAGATGATAGCAGTTCGGGCCGCGATCTATCCCGCAATTCAAGTCATGAATCGAAAGACGAAAGAAGAAGAAGACGAGAGCGACTACGAGAAGGATAAGACATCCATTACCTTGCCAGAATCCAACCCCTTGCCAGAATATCAAATCGATTCATCGTCAAATCTTGGATTGAAATTATCCAAGCCTCAAGGCAAGATTGATTTCAAGGATGTCACTTTTGCTTACCCGACCCGCAACGAAAAGAATATCTTGAAGAGCTTCTCCTTGAGTATTCCCGCTGGCAAGACGGTCGCTTTGGTAGGATCGAGTGGACACGGAAAGTCGACGGTCGCTGCACTGATTCAACGATTCTATGATCCCGTTGCGGGATCAATCTCAATGGATGGTGCCGACTTGAAGGATATGAATGTCCAATGGCTGCGGGAACAAATTGGCGTCGTTTCACAAGAACCGAGTCTGTTTGCGAGCACTATCCGCGAGAACATCAAGATTGCCTTTCCCGAAGCGGGACAACAAGACATCGAAGAGGCAGCAAGGAGGGCAAATGCCCATGACTTTATCACATCTTTTCCGGATGGATATGAGACTCACGTTGGTCAAGGTGGTGCACAATTATCTGGAGGTGAGGATTAGCGGATGCTTACTATTTGTCTTTTTGGGGCGTATTGTGCACTAATTTCTTTGCTTGTTTGTAAAGGCCAGAAGCAACGGATTGCCATCGCTCGAGCTCTGATTCGCCGACCACGCATTCTGCTTCTTGACGAGGCCACATCGGCCTTGGATAGTGAATCCGAAGCAGTGGTGCAGGAAGCCATCGACAGAATTATGGAAGAACAAATGCAAAGTGTCATTATTGTGGCTCATCGATTGTCGACCGTCCGAAATGCAGACTCCATAGTGGTAGTTCATCAAGGTGCCGCAGTGGAACAAGGGACTTACGATGAACTCATGCGAAAGAAGTCGCATTTCTTCCGTCTCGTGGAAGAGGGGCAATCGGGATCCAGTCAATCTAGTTTGGGAGCGTCTTCAACCGAATCCATGACTGACGAATGCCTGTCGTTCACTGATGAGGAAGAACCATCAGAAGAAATGAGACAGAACAGTGAATGCTTACTCTCGTTTCAAGATGTCCACTTTCATTATCCATCTCGCCCATCATCCAAAATTTTCAGAGGACTCGATCTTCAAATCCACCAAGGCGAGACACTTGCTCTTGTTGGTCCAAGTGGCCAAGGAAAAAGCACCATTATTCAGCTTTTGGAAGGGTTCTACCGTCCAACAAAGGGGACCATTTCCTACAAGGGCACCAATGTCGAAGACATCAACGTGGACTGGTTGAGAAAACAATTTGGACTTGTCAGCCAAGAACCAAACCTATTCCATGCATCCATCACCGATAACATTCGATTTGGTAGCCCAGACGCAACTCAGGCAGATATCGAAGAGGCAGCCAAGGCAGCAAACGCTCATGATTTCATAATGTCGTTCCCTAACAAATACGACACCATTGTCGGAGCAACTGGATCGACCAAGGTATCGGGTGGAGAAAAACAGCGAATCGCCATTGCTCGTTCACTTCTTCGTAAGCCAAAGGTTCTGCTCTTGGACGAAGCCACGTCGGCATTAGATTCTGCATCAGAACGGGTCGTTCAAGCAGCCCTAGACAAAATTATGGCGGACCAAAGCCAGACAACCATTGTAATTGCGCACCGTCTTTCTACCATCCGAAATGCAGATAGAATCGCTGTCGTTGACCGAGGCCGTGTTTGTGAGCTTGGTACACATACTGAGCTCATGATGTTGGAGGAGGGTATGTACCGAAAACTTCAAAGTTTGCAGAATATGGACTCTGCGGAACGGAACACTCTAGTCACAACCAAACGTGAGAACTCTTCGAATGGGCCAAAGGCTGATGCATATTGTGAAACTGAGGAGGAGAAAGCACATGACACGGATGACGTGGTTGAAGAAAAAGACAGCGACAATGTCATTCGCAAAGCAAGAAAATTCAGTGAAGGTGACTATGGACTATTTTTGATAGGTTCGCTCGGAGCTGTTCTTGCAGGTTTGATGTTCCCAGGTTGGGGATTCACATTTGCCTACATGATCGAACTCTTGTACCGACCGGTGCCTGTCTGCAATGCCGACTTTAGAACGTGCCAAGAGCAATGGGATCTCGTTGCTGATGAAATGCAAGACCTGTCTTTCAAGGTTGCCTGTGGTCTCGCGGGGGTCATTTGCTCGGCAGTCTTGGGACATTCCCTAGTCTGGTATGGATTCGGAACCGCCGCCGAAAGGCTCAACAAGAAAGTTCGAGACGCTGTATTCAAGAACATCATGCGGCAAGAAGTTGCTTGGTTTGATACGCAATCTGTAGACGCATTAGCGAGCCGAGTGGCAGATGATACCGCTCTTTTGAACACCTTTTGTGGGAGTCCAATTCGCATGCTAATCATGAATATGTCCAGTGTGCTTGTGGGAATTGTTACGTCATTCTTTTTCATGTGGCCATTCGCAGTTGTTGCTGTCTTCACATTGCCCTTCCTTGTGTTTGCTGCTCGTGCCAGAGTGAAGATGTTCTTGGGAGAAGATGAAGGAACCTATAAGGAGGAAAATGAAAAGAGCTCTGGTGGCATTGTTATCGAGACACTATCGAATATCCGAACTGTTGCTTCCTTGGGTATTGAAAGCGTATGCTCCAAGAAGTATTTGGAGACCCTACAAATTGAAGAGCCAAGTTCCATTTCAATCAACATGCGGAAGGCTAGCATGGGACTGGGTCAACTGATTCGAGTTTGGTGCATCGCCTTGTTCTTCTGGTGGGGTGGTTACATTCTACACACCCAACCTGGCAAATACTCACTGCGCGACTTCTTGATTTCAATGTTTTCATTGCTATTCTCTATAACGGGAATGGCCATGTCCATGCAAGGCGTTTCTGACCCTAAAGTCGCCAAAGAGGCCGCAAAGCGGGTGTTTGGGCTTATTGAAAGACCGAGTGCTATTGATCCGTTGAGCACAGATGGAAGAAAAGATCTATAGGGGGCGGAACAAGGAGGAAATCAAAATGGATGCTACGTACCATAGACTGTACAAATAGTTAGAGAGCGTTAATGACTTTCCGTTCTATAGCAATCGGACGACTCTACTTACAGAGCAAGCCTTAGGATCGTAATGTAGGTAGATTCATTAACAATTGAGAAGTGTACGATACCACTGCCGGCACCAATGGCCGCGGTGACTGTAGGAAGAGTTGGAACCAATGGCAGAACGAAATTCGTGAATCATGGGATGAACCTCTGACACGAGCAAAAGGAACACGTGGCACCGATCGAAGGATACTCGTACTGTAGTGTGATGTCATCCTTTAGCAAAGACTAGAATTGGACATGACACAGGACTAGAATTGGACATGGCGCAGGACTACAATCAAGCTAATGTGCGGAAGCAAAAGCAACGGTAGAGGGACTTCTTCTCATTGCACCACCAACCAGCCAGGATGTCCGGTCATTTTATATTGAACTTGTGTGCAAGTATACTAACAGAAAAATAGAGTTCTTTCTTTCCTTCCACGTCGGCTCCTATTGGGTCCTGCTAGTCCTTTTAACCGTTTCCTGACCGAGCTGCACAAAACCCAAACACGTGGATATGGTACAAAATCTACGTAAAATTGACTCCACCGACCACAATTGTAAACTCTAAATGCCCTTTACCAAATGTGGCCACCAAAGAACTGAACACATAGCAGAAACTCTTTTATATCATAGAAAGGGTACAATAAGCCTCCGTAAGTGGAAATCGTTGTCAGAAGGCGCTATGAGATTTCGACATTTCACAAAAGGCATTTCTTAGTTTTTCCTGGTACTTGTCCTACACAGTCCTACACAAGTTTTGACTGCTGGGAAACATAAGATCGTAGATGTGGTAGTGGTCCAACAAAATAATTCCACTTAG